CACACACACACACACACACACACACACACACACACACAATACAAATATGTAATATACAAAAATTCGGTGTGGCTCCTGGGGGCTAAGCCCCCCTTGTCCTTAAAACCTAGTGACGCCCCTGGTTTTCAAAAAATAAAAACAAAAAGACTAGCAAAAAGACAAAAGGTAGCTGTGAATTAAAAATAGCCAGATAACCAGGGCCGGAATTGACATTTGGGGGCCCTAGGCAAGATCTGTTTTGGGGGCCTACTTCCACTGTTTGCCAACTTAGCGACTTTGTCACTAGATCTAGCAACTTTTTTTTTCTAAAAAGCAACTAGCGACAAATCTAGCGACTTTTCTCAGTGCTTTTAGAGACTTTTAGGAGCTTTGGTGACAGCATTTTCAAAGCACTGTTTTCCTTTCCTCCTCCGCTCCTCCACAGGCAGCGAGCGCGGAGGTGAGCCCCTCCACCTTCCTAATCCGCCCGACTCACTGAAGCCTCGTGCAGCACCCCCAACCCCTACCCCCACCCCCGGCTGAAGTCAGACGAGAGGAGAGACCGCTGCAAATGAATCACGCATGCGCAAAGCTTCCACTGCTTCTGTCTGGTTTACAAAGCGGGATGTAATATTTAATGTAATGTTTTTCTCTGGTACTGTCTCTCTAACTAAACCTCTGGACCCAGCTGTGTTTGACTCACAGATCAGTCACTTCTTCACCTCTTCCTCCTTGTGTCTTGTGACATCGAACTGTCTGCAGATTAAATTTAAGATTCCCACAAATTTAATTTATGTGAATCTAAGCATTAAAATTTATAAATTTATTTTTATTTCATTAAGTTTAATTGCAGTTCTAAACATATTTAGTGTTTTTATTCACTTTTTTTTCTCTTCATCATCTCTCCTATAGCTCATATCAGTTATTGGCAAACATCTAACTATGCAAATTAAGTGATGACGTCATCTAGCGACTTTTAGCAACTTTTAGGACAGCCAATAGTGTCTTTTCCTTGCTCAGGAGTCTGCAACACTGCTTACTTCAACATAAGTAGTCCGTAAAAGATAAGCAAAACTAAATGCTGTATGTACAGTAATTATAAACCCGGTGCAGACAATTTTACCTCTAAGAACACAGTGTACCATAGTTTACTGCTAACTGAGCACACTAACTAAATGCTGTATTAATGTGTGTAGATGGGTAAAATAGGACAAAGATTTATGCACTTTGAGTATCCTGGTTGTTTAGAAAGGATCTGTGCAAATACAGTCCACATGTCATTTATTGGTCTGAGTGATGCTCAGTGTTGAAGCTTTTAATACGAGATTAAATTTACTTTGACAAACTTAAAGTTTAAATAAATATGTATGATGCCAATTCAACAGAATAAAAAGATTATAGTATGTTGAAACATTTATTCTCTAAATTATAACTGGTAACAAGCCAAGTACATAAATAAAACATTAAATACACATTTAAATCTTAACATGAAAAAGTATTTACAAAATGTAAGGCTTAATAAATGTATCTTACAGCTAATATATCGCTAAAAGGTTGCTAAATATAAAACTGGCACGATGGTTGCTAAAAGCTGAAGTGGAAAAAGGCTGTCACCACTAACGTAGCAAAAACAAGCTTAAACAAGAGTAGAAGAATGGTTTTCAAAACCTAAATTTAACAAAAGGCTGTCTTATGGTACTAATGGTAATGAACTTATAGAGCGCTTTTCAAGTCCCTCCAGACCCCCAAAGAGCTTTACACTAACAGACATTCACCRATTCACACTCACATTAACACACTGATGATGGCAAACTACACTGTAGCCACAGCTGCCCTGGGGCACACTGACAGAGGTGGGGCTGCCATGCATCGGCACCACCGGACCCTCTGACCACCATCAGTAGGCAAGGTGGGTGTCTTGCCCAAGGACACATCGACTGAGACGGCAGGACGGGGGATCAAACCAGTGACCTTGTGGTTCCAGGACGACTCCCCTAACCACTCCGCCACAGCCGCCCTGTCTTATAATCAAAGAAATCTAGCTAAAACTTAAAAGTTCCTGAAAGCTAAAATATAGCAAATGGTTAGCATGGTGCTATAAATAGCAAAATGACAAATGTTTTAGAAGGCTAGCAAAAGTTTAGAATAGCTAGGTAAAAGTAGCAAAAGGTTTTATAAAATTAAAATAGCATTAAACTAGCTAAAAACTAAAAATATTAGGCTAGCTTAAAGCTAACGCAGCAGGCTAGCTAATAGAAAAAATGGCAAGATTGTAGCTAAAAGTAGCTCTGCTGCTAAAAGCTGAAGTATCAAAAACACATCAGTCACAACATCATGACTATTATTGCAAAGTTCAGTAACAAACTTTGAAAACATCACTCCTGGACTATAGCAGAGCTTTTGCATGACTTCATCAGCTCCCACACCTGTTTGGAAAGGCTAAGATAAAATATTTTAGTTTACTCAGTTTCTGTCTATTTCTCTGTGCTCCACAACAAGAACAGGACAGATTAAACCTGCTGAGTGTCCTTCATATCTGTATGACCAAGAGTTAATGAGTCACCAAATGACTGATTTAGAAAAACGCCTCGTTAGGTTTCTAATAAATGCAGACACTTTAGCTGTGCTGACTGCTGACATGCTGAGTCAGCGTTCACACAGTTAACCAGGTTTTGTCCTCAGGGGCCACCATCACACGTTTTACTTTTAATACCTGCTCCAACACAACTGAAACTTTTGAACAGCTGACATTTAGGCCTGTAAACATGTAAAGCCTTTATGAATTCACATTTTTGTTCTGTTCAAGTGAGTTTACAAAAGCTAAACCACAAAAAACATAAAAATTAACTCAAGATTTAAACATCAGGGTTCTCAAGTCTCATGTAGTGACTGTGAGACACACTTTTCATGAAGTGCACACACCACACTTTGTATTTCTCACGCTAAAAAACACACTAACTAAAATAAATCTGGATTGACTGCATAGATGATAGGTAGGTAGGTAGGTAGGCAGGTGGGGTAGGTAGGTAGGTAGGTAGGTAGGTAGGTAGGTAGGTAGGTAGGTAACAACCAAACACATAGACATACATATCTACAATCATCTAAAATAAAGTTACATAATAGTACATAAATAAATTTTGTGAGAATATTAAATTTAACCAACAGATTGTCAGACGTCACAGTCACACTCAGCCTCAGTCACCCTGAGTCAAATGCAGCTCTGTTCAGAGAGTTGTGTAATTTTCACAAAAAGTCTGTACATTCACACGCAGGGTGGGGGTGTGTTCAGGGTTGAAATACTGGGTGGATTGGGAGCTCTGTAGGAGGTTGATTAATTTTATCTTTTGTTTTTTTTTGCAGCTCCTATAGACTGTGAGATATAAAACAAATTTGAAGCTGAGTTTTTGAAAGAATCCCTGATTTGAAAAAACCTATGAGATTGCCTTACATGTCCACATGCCTGCAAAATGGGGGTGAAATCCATGTAATTTAAYGACAATCCATACAACTTGACATGCTTGGCCAAAAAAATAGTCACCACCAAAGAAAAAAGGTCACACTCTAATACTTGGTTGGACCACCTTCATCTTTGATTACGGCACACATTCTCTGTGGCATTGTTTAGATAAGCTTCTGCAATGTACCAAGATTTATTTTCATCCAGTGTTGCATTAATTTTTCACCAAGATCTTTCATTGATGAGTCTGACCTTCTCCAGCTAATCCCAAAGATTCTCAGTAGACTCTGTGGAGCCAATCTATGGCTATGTCCAAAATGACCAGAGGACCCAGACTACCTGGTCGAGGTGGGCCGGGTCCTTGGTAGACTGGGAAGACTGGAAAAAAAGAGGCTGTGAATTTGGGCGGTCTGACCTCCCGTCCTTACCCCGGCGTATGTCATGTCACCTAGCAACTGTGACGARGCTAAACAAGCAAACTTAAATCAAAATTAGAAAAATAACAATATAATAGCATTATTAATATCACAAAAATATAAAATTAACTTAAAGGTAACATTTGAAGAACTAAGTGACCTGCCATAGGTGCATGTTTATTTTGGGTTTTTTTATGACAAAAATATTTAAAAACATGTCTATACAAATGATAAAAGCATTAGAAGTACAACCGCTAAAAAAATAATTTTTATATCACCATATTTTAATTTAAAATGTATTCTTTTCTCGCTTTGTACTAGCATAAAAAAATCTCCTGTCGAGCCGCAATGCATTATGGGATATGGTGGGCCGAGAAGGATCCATCAGACCAGTCCTTCGATTCGGGCCAAAGGAAGGAAGCATTTGTCAGCTGCATCGGAGGAGTCTTTGGTTTTGGACGGCCTTCGTCGCGGCGCTGTGACGTATGTGGCCGACGAATTCGGCCTTTGGAGGACCCGGCCTGCCGTTATGGACACAGCCTATGTGTGAAAGTGATGTCTCATGCTCTCTGAARCACTCCTTCAAAATAAGAGCCCCATGAATCCTGGCATTGTCATCTTGGAATATGGCCGTACCATCAGGGCAGAAACAATCCATTGATGGAATAATCTGGTCATTCAGTATGTTCAGGTAGTCAGCTGACCTCATTCTTTGAGCACAAACTGTTGCTGAACCTGAACCTGACCAACTGCAACAACCTCACATCACACACCTTAGTTAAACCCAGGTGGACACTTGTTTTTGGCTGGGCAGTGGCCACCAGTCGGTGGAGGAAGGTTTTAACTGGGACACATGAAAGGTAGGATGGACTTTCATCGATGCAGGTAGGTGAAGTCTTACAGCAGATGGTTTAATGATTTTTTCCACGGGAAATGGGCCGATGAACCTGGGTGAGAGTTTCTTAGGGAAATCTTTCAGAGTGGAAAGCCATACCTTTTGTCCCACTTGGTAAGATGGTGCAGATGCACGGTGACGATCAGCAAACCGTTTATTTTGTTGTGAAGTCCTGAGTAATGCTCTCTGTGTCTGATCCCAGATCCTGTGGCAGCGACGGATGTGATGCTGAACTGAGGGGACCAGAATCTCTGAATCCTCTCTGGGAAACAAGGGAGGGTTATAACCGAGTGATGCTTCAAATGGAGAAAAACCAGTAGCTGATGAGGTATGGCCGTTATGTGAATACTAAACCCAAGGTAAGTGTTTGCACGAGGAGGAGGGATTGTTGTTAATCACATATCTAAGTGTGGACTCTAACTCCTGGTTGCGTCTTTCAGACTGCCCATTTGATTGGGGGTGATGACCAGAGGTGAGGCTGACTTTGGCACCTAAGGCGGAACAAAAAGCCTTCCATACCTGTGACACAAACTGGGGTCCACGGTCAGAAACAATGTCCGAGGGAACACCATGGAGACGAAAAACATTGTTCACCAAGAATTGAGCGGTTTCAAAAGATGTGGGAAGTTTAACCAAAGGAACGAAGTGGGCTGCTTTAGAAAATCTGTCTATGATGGTAAGAATGACGGTATTACCTTCAGAGGGTGGCAGTCCGGTAACAAAATCTAAGGCAATATGGGACCATGGATGGGCAGGTGTTGGTAGTGGTTGTAGGAGACCGGCTTGTTGTTGGTTGCTGCTTTTGTTCATGGCACAAGTTGGACAGGCAGTGACAAACTCCTTAATATCTTGGTAGGCCACCAAAAATGTCTTTTAGAGAAAGACAGCATACGAGAGATACCAGGGTGACATGTAAAACGATGATTGTGGACCCAGTCCAGTAGTTTACCAATAATTGCCTTGGGAACGAATCTGGTACCAGTGGGTCCATTGCCAGGATCAYMATCAGACTGTTGAGCCAAACGGATGGTGTTTTCAATATCCCAAGTGAGAGTTCCCACGAAGCAGGTGTTAGGTAGGATGGTGGAGTCCTTTTCATGAGAGTCTGGAGGAGAAAACAGTCTGGAGAGAGCATCTGACTTGACATTCTTTGAGCCCGGGATGTAAGTGATGGTGAAATTAAATCTTACAAAGAATAATGACTAACGGGCTTGTCGAGGGTTTAATCGTTTAGCATTTTGTGTTACTAAATGACTAGTGTTCTCGCAGTTTGCTTTAAATAATTGCCAATTAGCTTTGTTAAAGCACCATTTAATGTAAATTCTTCTTGTCTGGATATATCATCATTTATTATTATACTTATTGGAAAGTGGTCACTCCCTATTGTACTCTTACCCCTCACACTCCATTCACATGAACTTGCTAAAGTATCTGACACTAATGTAATATCTATGCATGAGACTGTACCTTTATTTAAATTGATTCTTGTTCCCTGACCATTATTTAAACATACTAAAGATCTTTCATCCATAATTTCTTCTATTATTCTGCCATTATTGTCTGTTTGGTTGCTAACAGCGATGAGTTGATCCTCAAGTCCTCCTTATAAAGCCAGTGAGCTGATGAGCCAGTCCTTCACAGGTGAGTCCAATAAACATTGGCAGATATGCAGAGAGGCATAAGGTGAAAATCACCAAATTGTCTCAAAGATACACGGTACACTGCAAGCAGGGGTGCAGTGCTGCATGTGAGATTATTTTTTTAGCAAACTTAGTTAGCAGAACTAAATTTAGTGGAAGCTAAATTGTTCCTTTAAAGGTTTCCAAAGTTAGCATGAATGTTAATCTCATAAATAAAAGTTAGCTTTGCTTTTAGCTGTTAGCATATTAGCTGAACTGTTTCTACCACTGTTGGGAAACTGTTAGTGAAAAAACTCATTTTATGCTAACATTTTCAAAAGTTAGTAAAAATGCTAATCTGCTGTAAGAATCAATTGCTTTGTTTGCTGTTAGCGTATTAGCYGAGCTGATTCCAACATTGTCAAAAACCACAAGAAGCATCATTTCCTGAATGAGCTGAACAATTTGAAAATTTAAATAACAGAAATAAGAGAAAGTTTCCTGGGGTAGTTTAACTGCAAGAAAGGATGCAAGAAGTAAGAAAAAAAAACTAAATTGGGTAAATAAAAATAATGGCTGTAATTGTAAAGAGAGATTGGACCGTAAAAGCACATCTATTTTGGGCCTTGTTTCCACAGAATGTTGAAGTTAGCCTATTGTTCATGGTGTGAGAGCTGACCGCTCCCAATAAACCCTAAGAGCTTGTTAAAAGCTTAACAAATACAAAGCTGTGCCCTTTATGAGGCATCGACATCATGATCTGCTCACTCCGGACATCCTCAGCAAACAAACCCACAGTGGATGTCTTCTCTAATGAGGCCCGCTTGTTTGACGAGCGCTGCTTCACAGATGCCTCCATTTGGAAGACACTTAAACCGACTGCAATCGTTTACAGGTATCACTTTCTGTGGCTTTGGTCTTATTGACAAATCAAAGTGATGATGTCAGAGGGATGAAGCAAAAACAAGAGGACAATCTCAGGTTAAGGAAACAGAAGTGTTATCTTTGAACACCATTCAGAATGGTTAATGGAGCAAAATGACATTTAACATTAGCTTACAAATAACTTGCTCACATTAGTTACATGTGGCCCAAAATTTTAAAGCAAATACCCCACATAACAAAACTGGTCAGGCCCAGTTCTTGGCCACATCATGTCCATGCCTGAGAAGTAACACTTGGTCCAGATATTGCAAAGAATGAGAGTCGTTTGGTGAGTTTACTTAGTTATTCCATCTGTGTTTGTGTCTCTTTCCTGTCCCCCAACCCAGCCAGTCGAGGCAGATGGCTGCCTGTCCTGAGCATGGTTCTGCTGGAGGTTTCTTCCTGTTAAAAGGGAGATTTTCCTCTTCACTGTCACCAATGTGCTACTCAGGATGGGAGACTGTGATGAAGTGATTCAACACAATCTGCTGCCTTCTTTAGATTGATTGTTTTTGTGTACAGTGCCCTGAGATGATGTCTGTTGTGGCTTGGTGCTGTATAAATAAACTGAATTGAATTGGTAGCCTGGATGCAGCTTGCCAGAGGTGATCAATGGAATGGCCGGAACCCACATACACTGTAGTATACAACAACTGGACCAGTTGTGGCATTGACAGATGTGGACAAAATATATAAGATAAGATAAGATAAGATAAGATAAGATAAGATAAGATAAGATGTACTATAAGTACTTCAACGAAACAACTGGGATAATTGAGGGAGGTCCTTACAGATGTAGTCCACATAAACCAAACTACAACTGGGCCAGTTGAGGTCCTGACAGATAAGTGCCACAGACACCAAGCTACAATTGTGCCAGTTGTGGCATTGATATCTATGGACCACATACTGTATACCAAACAACAAGTGGGTCAGTCAAGGTCCTGACAGTTGTGGACCACACATACAAACAGCCACTGGACCAGTTGGGGTCCTGACAGATGTAGACCACAGACACCAAACTACAATTGGGACATTTGTGGCATTGATAGATGTGGACTACATTTACCAAAAATCAACTGGTCCAGGTGAGGTCCTAACAGATGCGGACCACATATACCAAACAATTGGGCCATTCAAGATCCTGACAGATACATACCACACATACACACAGCCATTGGACCATTTGGGATTCTGACAGATGTAGACCACATACACCAAACAATTGGGCCAGTCAAGATCCTGACAGATGTAGACCATATAAGCCAAACAACAACTGGGCCAGTTGAGGTCCTGACAGATAAGTGCCACAGACACAAACTACAATTGTGCCAGTTGTGGCATTGACAGATTTGGGRCACATACTGTATACCAAACAACAATTAGGTCAGTCAAGGTCCTGACAGATGTGGACCACATATACCAAACAACTGGGCCAGTGGTGGCACTGTCATGCACATGCAATTATTATTTTCTGGAACTTTTATAAAAATTATGTCCAGTTGTGAATGAAATATTTAGCTATAAGACAGATGAATCACTTCCTTACAAAAACCAACAGATTCCCAAAGTTAGCTGAACTAAGGGGCAGTATTTGGTTAGAGCTGTGCCACATGTTGCTGTTTACATTCTTTAGAAAATGCTGGGTGGTTATGTGGGAAAATCTTAGGCTTACACCGGCTCTTGTAGCAGACTTTGTAGTGTTTATTCTGAAGGGATAAACAGAAGCTGGGCTCTGACTTCAACAGATGCAGTGTGAGGGTCAGTCTTGGCTTCTCAGTCTCTGGTTTGGAAGTTAAGGTAGGAAAACAAGTTGTTCAGAAAGGAATCATATTAAAGGGATAGTCCAACCAACTATTTGTCTAATCATTAGTTTGTGTTTTATTAGTGGGTGATCCTGGTCCTCCAGGGCCACTATCCTGAATGTTTCACTTGTTTCTCTGCTCCAACACACCTGATTTGTATGAATGAGTGATTGACAGGCTTCTGCAGAAGATAAAATACCACCAAAATGCACCACAGATTGCCACAGGAGGTTGTTCCTACCAGTGGCCATCAAACTCTATAACTCCTCCCTAAACATGTGAAACTAGATCATCTGGACAATTACATTAATGCATATGCACATTTTATTATTTTTAGTCTTTATTTGATATTAACTTACTGTATTTTACCCATGACACTCACCAAACATGTACAATATACCAAACGTTTAAAAAAAATTGACCCTTATCGTCCCGCGAGGGGAAATTGAGTCTCTGCATTTAACCCTTCGCACATGTGAACACACATTTGAGGCAGTGGGCTGCCAGTTTCGGTGCCCGGGGAGCGGCTGGGGGGTTGGGGGCCTTGCTCGGGGGCCCAGGGTGGGGCTGGTTGGTTCGGGGAGTCAAGCCGGCGATCTTCTTATCACAGACACGGCTTCTCTACCCTCTGCACCACCCCTCCCCCATCATCTCTTGTTACATGCTGTGTGCACATTCTCTTAATAGTTCTATTATTTTTATTGTTTATGTGTACATAAGTGTGCTTATTTGTAATCCTGGGTGTTTATACTTATTTTATTCTGGCGTGCTTATTTCTTTCTTTTCACATTTCTCTGATCTGAACGGTTGCAGCTGTAATTCCTGTAATTTCTCTCGGGGATCAATAAAGGATTCTGATAAAGGGGGAATTAAATCACTGAATCAGATGTGCAGAGAAGCAAGTAAAACATGCAGGACAGAGGCCAGGATTGGACACTCCTGGTGTAGAGAAAGACGAAGTCTTTATCCAGGTTAGCCAAATTAACCTAGCCTAGCCAGGCTTCTACCTGATCTTTTCCACTGGGATTATTAAAGTATTTTTGAATTTGAATTTATTAATTTTTTTTTTAGATTGTTCAGGCTTACAGAACAAATATTTCTCACTAAATAAATTACAAAATAAAGTCCCAATTTTCAGGAAAAAAGCCAGAATTCTGAAAAATTTTCCCCCTATTTTAAGAAATCCAGAATTTTGCGTTAGAAATGTCACCAATTCAGTTTTTAGTGATTTCAGTTTTCAGATTTTGGAATCTTAGATTTCCAATTATTTTCTTGTTTTGAGAAAAACATCAGAATTCCAACTTTGATCTCAGAATTCAAACTTCTGAGATTATAACCTCTCTTCCACAAATCTGACTCGCTAACTAGTCTCTAACATGTTCAAACCCACGGTCACGTGACCTCAGAACAATGTTGTATCTGAATATAAACAGGTTTACCTTCATATCTGCTGCTCGTGGTTCTTCAGAATCAGTCTTCTCTGTGACTGTAGCTCATGTGATCMAATTGCGGCAGTTTTCTTGTCTGACCCTCGTTGTGAGAAGGTGGGACCATTTCTCGGGTTCCGTTAGAACCAGGGAAACAGCTCAACTGACAGGAAGTTACATCCTGAACACAACAGCTCTCTGCCATGAAGTAACGCCTTCATCAGACGTGTGTGGCTCTTTTATTTATGTCTTCACATCTTCGAGAGTTACAAAAACCTGTCAGACATAAAGATGGGGGTGAAGCAGAGAACATCTGGTCATTGATGCTACACACCTTGGATCACACAGAGGCTGCACTTCTGAGGCGTTTCAAACTTTATGCACATAACTGCAGAAAACAGCAACTGTAGTTGAAGCAGTTCAGAACAGGATGTCACTTGAACCACCAGACTGCCTACAGCTGTTTAAGACAAAAAGATCTGAATCCAGAGGTTTGTTTAGTTCTGACTCTGGCCCGTAATGTTTATCACTTCACTGATCAGATCAAAGACTTATGCATGGAATTTTTATAAAACTGACAGATGTGGACCTCATATACCAAAAAATCACTAAAACGAAAAGTTTTAGCTTTAATATTTTTGGTTGATTAAATTAAACTATACCTTGGTTTAAAGCTGTTTGTGGTCAGTTTAAATGCCAGGATGATAGTAAGAACAAAGAAAGTGAGCTTTAGTGATGGTGACTGACACTGTTAACATGATGATCTCCAGTGGTGGGCACAGTCCTGCTAACA